ACACACACTCTCAGATTCACCCTCTCTATCACCCACTCACTCCCCCTTCCCCCCCCCAATCAACAACTATCTCGCTGTCTCTCTCTCTCTCACACTCACTCACTCACTCACTCACTGCATTCCCGAACACCTAGAGGCCTTCCTTTCTGCTCTGCCCTACATCCGTCATCTCATGCAGACCACTCGATACTCTTAGTCATCTCCGAATACCCGTCATCACTGTCTCATCGAGAGTCGTCAGTCGCCGTCTCTTCATGTCTCAGCTGATTGGCCAACACGTGTCACACCTTGTTTCTTCACTTCTCTCCGGAGTGTCCACATCGCGATTCAGGCGACTGCATGAATCCACTCGTCCCCGTATTATTTCTACTCGTGGTTAATGTGGTCAGGATATGGACAAGAGACACACTTCATAACCACTTCAGTTTCCGTCCACCACAAACACCACTTCCACCCCACCACGAAACATCCCTCATCTTACTTACTCCGCCTAATCCCAGTCCTCGGAATACGCCTCCAAATACAAGTCGAAAATCAACTGGTCATCATCCGAAACTGGAATTCTCCTTGTGCAACATCGCCCTCCTCACCACCTCCGTCTCTCGATTCCACACCCCCTTCGTATTCCTTGTATTCTCCAGCCCACGTCCACCTAGGTGCTCATGGACACATCCATGTCAAAGTGAGCGCGCGAGTTCATCCAGTTTGCAGCGTGTGGGTGTGTCAGTGCGTGCATGATTAATTGAGTACACTCTGTCTTGTGGCAGATTGAGTATGGCTTTTCAGTATTTGGTTGAGTGAGACAGTGAGTTTGCCGTTGCGTGTTTGTGCATGAGTGAGTTGGTGAAGTGGTGAATTCGCCAATCGTGGATTGATTGTGGATGGTATGATTTCCATGTGACATGTGTTGTGTGAGTGTGTAATTCATAGAGTTTGACTGTGTCTGTGTCTGTCCGTGTATGTGTGTGTCTGTGTGTCTGTGTGTGTTTGTGCATGCGACTTTGAGCCGGTCAGTGTTCGGTATGTGTGTCGACATTTCGCATGACTGTGGGTATGCATCTTCTATTCGGTGTATATCCATTCGCCTATCTGTTTCGACCGAAGGAGTGTTTACCTGTGGATCTCAGTGTTGCAATCTGTACTGCTGTGAGTGTGTGCGTGTGCGTGTGTGTGTGTGTATTGTGTGGTGGGTGGTGCGGTGTTGTTTTCATTTTGTGTTGTGTGGTGTTGCACGGTGTGGGTGAATGTGTGAGTGTGTGGTTGTTTGCATGTGACAGGTGTTCGTGAGCCTGGATTGGCGCATATGATGTTGATGGTTGTGTGTGTGGTGATTGTGATTGTGATTGTTGGGAGTTGACGAGCGGTGAGTCCATCTGTGAGGTTTCCGTAGTGTGGTGGTCATCACGTCTGTCTAACACACAGAAGGTCCCCAGTTCGAGCCTGGGCGGTAACATCTGCTTTTCAACGTGACATCACACTCCGAATTACTCACACGTGCATTCACCACCACAAACACAACAACAAACACACCGACCAATTCAACATGCACCACTTTCACCTACAAGCAACCGCCAGTCACACACACTCTCAGATTCACCCTCTCTATCACCCACTCATTCCCCCTTCCCCCCCCCCCCCCAATCAACAACTATCTCGCTGTCTCTCTCTCACTCACTCACTCACTCACTGCATTCCCGAACACCTAGAGGCCTTCCTTTCTGCTCTGCCCTACATCCGTCATCTCATGCAGACCACTCGATACTCTTAGTCATCCCCGAACACCCGTCATCACTGTCTTTTTGTGCTATATTTTGACTGAACTAGATTACACGTATCTTCTAGTATTTCCTCGCGTTTATGATTGTGCCCTAACGTTGCGATTACTCGACATCCGCAACGTAATTCAAAAGGCACTTGCGAAGGAATATGATAGTGTATTATTGCAGCAATCAACAATTCAAAAATCGAGCGAGTACAAAAGGTATCAATTTTTAACATGCAAGATTTAGAGTAATAAATAAATGAAAGTACAATTACACAATGAAAGTATAGTACGATTATGAGTAATAAAACGGGTCACTACAGTCTCATCGAGAGTCGTCAGTCGCCGTCTCTTCATGTCTCAGCTGATTGGCCAACACGTGTCACACGTTGTTTCTTCACTTCTCTCCGGAGTGTCCACATCGCGATTCAGGCGATTGCATGAATCCACTCGTCCCCGTATTATTTCTACTCGTGGTTAATGTGGTCAGGATATGGACAAGAGACACACTTCATAACCACTTCAGTTTCCGTCCACCACAAACACCACTTCCACCCCACCACGAAACATCCCTCATCTTACTTACTCCGCCTAATCCCAGTCCTCGGAATACGCCTCCAAATACAAGTCGAAAATCAACTGGTCATCATCCGAAACTGGAATTCTCCTTGTGCAACATCGCCCTCCTCACCACCTCCGTCTCTCGATTCCACACCCCCTTCGTATTCCTTGTATTCTCCAGCCCACGTCCACCTAGGTGCTCATGGACACATCCATGTCAAAGTGAGCGCGCGAGTTCATCCAGTTTGCAGCGTGTGGGTGTGTCAGTGCGTGCATGATTAATTGAGTACACTCTGTCTTGTGGCAGATTGAGTATGGCTTTTCAGTATTTGGTTGAGTGAGACAGTGAGTTTGCCGTTGCGTGTTTGTGCATGAGTGAGTTGGTGAAGTGGTGAATTCGCCAATCGTGGATTGATTGTGGATGGTATGATTTCCATGTGACACGTGTTGTGTGAGTGTGTAATTCATAGAGTTTGACTGTGTCTGTGTCTGTCCGTGTGTGTGTGTGTGTGTGTGTGTGTGTTTGTGCATGCGACTTTGATCCCGTCAGTGTTTGGTATGTGTGTCGACATTTCGCATGACTGTGGGTATGCATCTTCTATTCGGTGTATATCCATTCGCCTATCTGTTTCGACCGAAGGAGTGTTTACCTGTGGATCTCAGTGTTGCAATCTGTACTGCTGTGAGTGTGTGCGTGTGTGTGTGTGTGTGTGTGTGTGTATTGTGTGGTGGGTGGTGCGGTGTTGTTTTCATTTTGTGTTGTGTGGTGTTGCACGGTGTGGGTGAATGTGTGAGTGTGTGGTTGTTTGCATGTGACAGGTGTTCGTGAGCCTGGATTGGCGCATAGGATGTTGATGGTTGTGTGTGTGGTGATTGTGATTGTGATTGTTGGGAGTTGACGAGCGGTGAGTCCATCTGTGAGGTTTCCGTGGTGTAGTGGTCATCACGTCTGTCTAACACACAGAAGGTCCCCAGTTCGAGCCTGGGCGGAAACATCTGCTTTTCAACGTGACATCACACTCCGAATTACTCACACGTGCATTCACCACCACAAACACAACAACAAACACACCGACCAATTCAACATGCACCACTTTCACTTACAAGCAACCGCCAGTCACACACACTCTCACATCCACCCTCTCTATCACCCACTCATTCCCCCTTCCCCCCCCCCCAATCAACAACTATCTCGCTGTCTCTCTCTCTCTCTCACTCACTCACTCACTCACTCACTGCATTCCCGAACACCTAGAGGCCTTCCTTTCTGCTCTGCCCTACATCCGTCATCTCATGCAGACCACTCGATACTCTTAGTCATCTCCGAATACCCGTCATCACTGTCTTTTTGTGCTATATTTTGACTGAACTAGATTACACGTATCTTCTAGTATTTCCTCGCGTTTATGATTGTGCCCTAACGTTGCGATTACTCGACATCCGCAACGTAATTCAAAAGGCACTTGCGAAGGAATATGATAGTGTATTATTGCAGCAATCAACAATTCAAAAATCGAGCGAGTACAAAAGGTATCAATTTTTAACATGCAATATTTAGTAATATATACGCAGCATAATCATTGATTTCACGCATCTGCGTGATTATTGATTTAAATTACTGAATTCCCAAGGTCGTTAATATTTTTAAAATGTGACATTGATTTTTCTAATTGTATAAATACGGAGTTGTTGTTTAACATTTTCGACTGTTGTTTGAGACAGTAAAAGCTCTCATATCAACGTCCAGTCTTCTCTTTTATTTGTCTTGCGTGCCCGGCGGTATTATTGTTGTTGTTGTCGACGTGCGATTAAGACAGATTAGCCAGCGCATTAGTTAGATTCGCTCGTAGTCTACAAGGTCCTCATATTCACATACATAACAAATTTGGCGACGGGTTTGCTGAAGATGGACCCACTGCGTTTAGAGAAACTAATGGAACAGCAGCTAAAATTGATGGAAATGCTTGCTGGTCTACAGATATCACGCTCTGCCGATTCATCTACAGCCAACGACAGCATTGGTAGCAGCATCTCAGAATTTGTTTATGATCCAGATGCGAACGTCACTTTTGACACTTGGTTTCGCAGATATGAAGACCTATTTCGAGTAGACTTTGCGGATAAAGATGATGCCTGGAAAGTACGGCTTCTACTTCGTAAATTGGGATCAGATGAGCTGGATAAATATTGCAACTTAATTCTCCCACAGAAGCCCAGCGAAAGATCATTCGATGAAACTGTCCATACCCTTCGTCATCAGTTCGGTGATCAGAGATCTTTATTCAACATTCGATATCATTGCATGAAACTATCTCTGAACGAAAATGATGATATCCATACTCAGTTGGGTATAGTCAATCGCACGTGTGAACGTTTTAAATTGAAATCACTCTCAGAAGACCAGTTCAAGGTGTTGATTTTCATTTGTGGTTTGCAGTCTCCCAAATTTGCTGATATACGCACACGTCTATTAAATCGTCTGGAACAAGATCCACGAATGACTTTGAAAGACGTCGGTGAAGAATATCAGCGTTTAATCAACACTCATAACGATACCGTCTTGGTGCAGTCTGGCAGCCAAAATGCAGCGGAAGTGCATGCGGTGCATCCAGTACCGTCGACATCAACCGCACCGCTTCATCCTCAGCATAAACCACCATCAGCCTGCTGGCACTGTGGCTCCTGGCATTTTGCAAAATTGTGCCCATTCAAACAGCATAAATGCCGTCGATGCCATACTGTTGGTCACAAAGATGGCTACTGCAAACGCAACAACCAACCCAGATCTCGTAGTCGACCCAGACGGCGCAACAAGCTCAAGTCTTTGGGTGTTACTGCCACATATCATATTAGTACTCCAGCACCTCGCAAATATATCAATCTGACGATTAATACACGGCCGGCACGCCTACAAATCGACACAGCATCCGATATTACAATAATATCAAAGAAATTATGGCAGAAGTTGGGATGCCCTGCCATAGAGAAGACAAATCAGATAGCAATTAGTGCATGTGGTGGAAGACTTCGATTGAATGGAGAAATTAAATGCAGCGTTGGTTTTCGCGATAGTCATTTCGTCGGCACATGCTACATCAATAATTCAAACCTTGACCTCTTGGGTTTAGACTGGTTCGAGAAGCTGCACCTGTCAGAGATTCCGTTAAGCAGTGTATGCCATAAGATCGAAAGTATTGAACCCTCAACAAGAAAGCCAGAAATCAGAGACAGATATATTAAACCTAAGCCCATTAGAAAGAATGACGTGATTAATGAAAAACCAACTTCGAATCGTCACAGTGAGTATGGCTGCGCCAAAAGTGCTTCGATGTCTGGTAGCAACAAAGTAGCAACTGTTAGCTCCAGTAAGAGAGGCTCTGCTCAAAAACTGAAAGTGATGTCTGTCATGGCAGCCAAAGATCCGCCGCGGGAGCCACCGAGAGCATGGCCCACGTCAAAACCATGGTCCCGCCTACATGTGGATTTTGCTGGGCCGATAGAAGGTATATACTACTTGGTTCTCGTGGACTCTTACTCAAAATGGCCGGAGGTAGTACAAGTGACACCACCTTCTAGCAGCAGAACAGTATCAGTCCTGGAAAAGATCTTCGCATGTCACGGTATACCAGAAATCATCGTATCTGACAATGGCAGTCAGTTCACCTCACAAGCGTTCCAGGAATTTTGCAAGAGAAACGGTATACAACACGTGCGGACGCCACCTTATCACCCTCAATCCAACGGTCAGGCAGAAAGATTTGTCGACACTTTCAAACGAGCCTTGTTGAAAGCAGGGGGAGGGGCGAAACCGGAAGCAATACAAAACTTTCTTTTTGTATACCGAACTACACCACTGGCAGAACAGAAGAAAAGCCCTGCAGAACTTCTAATGGGTCGAATGCTACGAACTCATCACCACTCCATGTTACCATCTTCGTCACATCAACGAAGAAATAGTCTGACGTATTACCGCAAGGGTGATGCCGTCTATGTGCGCGATTATCGACCGAGGAACAGAAAATGGGCCGAAGGCTTGATAGAATGTCGACATGGAACTCTAATGTACAAGGTTAAAGTTGGGGATGAATGGTGGATAAGACATAAAAATCAGATACGACGTCGATATACTACATCCCAAGAACCTAAATTGCCACTGGATTTACTACTGGAAACTTTCAAAATACCACCAGTCAAACCAGAAGCAAAACAAGAGATGCTACCCAGCCGACGATCCCAGCGCAAACGAACACAAACAGTTCATTTCCAAATCGACCCCAAGGAAAAAAGATACTAAACTGATTGCAAGATTCTTTTTTAAAGGGGGAGGTAATATATACGCAGCATAATCATTGATTTCACGCATCTGCGTGATTATTGATTTAAATTACTGAATTCCCAAGGTCGTTAATATTTTTAAAATGTGACATTGATTTTTCTAATTGTATAAATACGGAGTTGTTGTTTAACATTTTCGACTGTTGTTTGAGACAGTAAAAGCTCTCATATCAACGTCCAGTCTTCTCTTTTATTTGTCTTGCGTGCCCGGCGGTATTATTGTTGTTGTTGTCGACGTGCGATTAAGACAGATTAGCCAGCGCATTAGTTAGATTCGCTCGTAGTCTACAAGGTCCTCATATTCACATACATAACATTTAGAGTAATAAATAAATGAAAGTACAATTACACAATGAAAGTATGGTACGATTATGAGTAATAAAACGGGTCACTACAGTCTCATCGAGAGTCGTCAGTCGCCGTCTCTTCATGTCTCAGCTGATTGGCCAACACGTGTCACACGTTGTTTCTTCACTTCTCTCCGGAGTGTCCACATCGCGATTCAGGCGATTGCATGAATCCACTCGTCCCCGTATTATTTCTACTCGTGGTTAATGTGGTCAGGATATGGACAAGAGACACACTTCATAACCACTTCAGTTTCCGTCCACCACAAACACCACTTCCACCCCACCACGAAACATCCCTCATCTTACTTACTCCGCCTAATCCCAGTCCTCGGAATACGCCTCCAAATACAAGTCGAAAATCAACTGGTCATCATCCGAAACTGGAATTCTCCTTGTGCAACATCGCCCTCCTCACCACCTCCGTCTCTCGATTCCACACCCCCTTCGTATTCCTTGTATTCTCCAGCCCACGTCCACCTAGGTGCTCATGGACACATCCATGTCAAAGTGAGCGCGCGAGTTCATCCAGTTTGCAGCGTGTGGGTGTGTCAGTGCGTGCATGATTAATTGAGTACACTCTGTCTTGTGGCAGATTGAGTATGGCTTTTCAGTATTTGGTTGAGTGAGACAGTGAGTTTGCCGTTGCGTGTTTGTGCATGAGTGAGTTGGTGAAGTGGTGAATTCGCCAATCGTGGATTGATTGTGGATGGTATGATTTCCATGTGACACGTGTTGTGTGAGTGTGTAATTCATAGAGTTTGACTGTGTCTGTGTCTGTCCGTGTGTGTGTGTGTGTGTGTTTGTGCATGCGACTTTGATCCCGTCAGTGTTTGGTATGTGTGTCGACATTTCGCATGACTGTGGGTATGCATCTTCTATTCGGTGTATATCCATTCGCCTATCTGTTTCGACCGAAGGAGTGTTTACCTGTGGATCTCAGTGTTGCAATCTGTACTGCTGTGAGTGTGTGCTGTGTGTGTGTGTGTGTGTGTGTATTGTGTGGTGGGTGGTGCGGTGTTGTTTTCATTTTGTGTTGTGTGGTGTTGCACGGTGTGGGTGAATGTGTGAGTGTGTGGTTGTTTGCATGTGACAGGTGTTCGTGAGCCTGGATTGGCGCATAGGATGTTGATGGTTGTGTGTGTGGTGATTGTGATTGTGATTGTTGGGAGTTGACGAGCGGTGAGTCCATCTGTGAGGTTTCCGTGGTGTAGTGGTCATCACGTCTGTCTAACACACAGAAGGTCCCCAGTTCGAGCCTGGGCGGAAACATCTGCTTTTCAACGTGACATCACACTCCGAATTACTCACACGTGCATTCACCACCACAAACACAACAACAAACACACCGACCAATTCAACATGCACCACTTTCACTTACAAGCAACCGCCAGTCACACACACTCTCACATCCACCCACTCATTCCCCCCCCCCCCCCCCCCCCCTCTCAACTATCTCGCTCTCTCTCTCTCTCTCACTCACTCACTCACTCACTCACTCACTGCATTCCCGAACACATAGAGGCCTTCCTTTCTGCTCTGCCCTACATCCGTCATCTCATGCAGACCACTCGATACTCTTAGTCATCTCCGAATACCCGTCATCACTGTCTCATCGAGAGTCGTCAGTCGCCGTCTCTTCATGTCTCAGCTGATTGGCCAACACGTGTCACACGTTGTTTCTTCACTTCTCTCCGGAGTGTCCACATCGCGATTCAGGCGATTGCATGAATCCACTCGTCCCCGTATTATTTCTACTCGTGGTTAATGTGGTCAGGATATGGACAAGAGACACACTTCATAACCACTTCAGTTTCCGTCCACCACAAACACCACTTCCACCCCACCACGAAACATCCCTCATCTTACTTACTCCGCCTAATCCCAGTCCTCGGAATACGCCTCCAAATACAAGTCGAAAATCAACTGGTCATCATCCGAAACTGGAATTCTCCTTGTGCAACATCGCCCTCCTCACCACCTCCGTCTCTCGATTCCACACCCCCTTCGTATTCCTTGTATTCTCCAGCCCACGTCCACCTAGGTGCTCATGGACACATCCATGTCAAAGTGAGCGCGCGAGTTCATCCAGTTTGCAGCGTGTGGGTGTGTCAGTGCGTGCATGATTAATTGAGTACACTCTGTCTTGTGGCAGATTGAGTATGGCTTTTCAGTATTTGGTTGAGTGAGACAGTGAGTTTGCCGTTGCGTGTTTGTGCATGAGTGAGTTGGTGAAGTGGTGAATTCGCCAATCGTGGATTGATTGTGGATGGTATGATTTCCATGTGACACGTGTTGTGTGAGTGTGTAATTCATAGAGTTTGACTGTGTCTGTGTCTGTCCGTGTGTGTGTGTGTGTGTGTGTGTTTGTGCATGCGACTTTGATCCCGTCAGTGTTTGGTATGTGTGTCGACATTTCGCATGACTGTGAGTATGCATCTTCTATTCGGTGTATATCCATTCGCCTATCTGTTTCGACCGAAGGAGTGTTTACCTGTGGATCTCAGTGTTGCAATCTGTACTGCTGTGAGTGTGTGCGTGTGTGTGTGTGTGTGTGTGTATTGTGTGGTGGGTGGTGCGGTGTTGTTTTCATTTTGTGTTGTGTGGTGTTGCACGGTGTGGGTGAATGTGTGAGTGTGTGGTTGTTTGCATGTGACAGGTGTTCGTGAGCCTGGATTGGCGCATAGGATGTTGATGGTTGTGTGTGTGGTGATTGTGATTGTGATTGTTGGGAGTTGACGAGCGGTGAGTCCATCTGTGAGGTTTCCGTGGTGTAGTGGTCATCACGTCTGTCTAACACACAGAAGGTCCCCAGTTCGAGCCTGGGCGGAAACATCTGCTTTTCAACGTGACATCACACTCCGAATTACTCACACGTGCATTCACCACCACAAACACAACAACAAACACACCGACCAATTCAACATGCACCACTTTCACTTACAAGCAACCGCCAGTCACACACACTCTCACATCCACCCACTCTTCCCCCACTCATTCCACCCCCCCCCCCCCCCTCCCAACTATCTCGCTCTCACTCTCTCACTCACTCACTCACTCACTCACTCACTGCATTCCCGAACACCTAGAGGCCTTCCTTTCTGCTCTGCCCTACATCCGTCATCTCATGCAGACCACTCGATACTCTTAGTCATCTCCGAATACCCGTCATCACTGTCTCATCGAGAGTCGTCAGTCGCCGTCTCTTCATGTCTCAGCTGATTGGCCAACACGTGTCACACGTTGTTTCTTCACTTCTCTCCGGAGTGTCCACATCGCGATTCAGGCGATTGCATGAATCCACTCGTCCCCGTATTATTTCTACTCGTGGTTAATGTGGTCAGGATATGGACAAGAGACACACTTCATAACCACTTCAGTTTCCGTCCACCACAAACACCACTTCCACCCCACCACGAAACATCCCTCATCTTACTTACTCCGCCTAATCCCAGTCCTCGGAATACGCCTCCAAATACAAGTCGAAAATCAACTGGTCATCATCCGAAACTGGAATTCTCCTTGTGCAACATCGCCCTCCTCACCACCTCCGTCTCTCGATTCCACACCCCCTTCGTATTCCTTGTATTCTCCAGCCCACGTCCACCTAGGTGCTCATGGACACATCCATGTCAAAGTGAGCGCGCGAGTTCATCCAGTTTGCAGCGTGTGGGTGTGTCAGTGCGTGCATGATTAATTGAGTACACTCTGTCTTGTGGCAGATTGAGTATGGCTTTTCAGTATTTGGTTGAGTGAGACAGTGAGTTTGCCGTTGCGTGTTTGTGCGCGTGCGTGTGTGTGTGCATGAGTGAGTTGGTGAAGTGGTGAATTCGCCAATCGTGGATTGATTGTGGATGGTATGATTTCCATGTGACATGTGTTGTGTGAGTGTGTAATTCATAGAGTTTGACTGTGTCTGTGTCTGTCCGTGTGTGTGTGTGTGTGTGTGTTTGTGCATGCGACTTTGATCCCGTCAGTGTTTGGTATGTGTGTCGACATTTCGCATGACTGTGGGTATGCATCTTCTATTCGGTGTATATCCATTCGCCTATCTGTTTCGACCGAAGGAGTGTTTACCTGTGGATCTCAGTGTTGCAATCTGTACTGCTGTGAGTGTGTGCTGTGTGTGTGTGTGTGTGTGTGTATTGTGTGGTGGGTGGTGCGGTGTTGTTTTCATTTTGTGTTGTGTGGTGTTGCACGGTGTGGGTGAATGTGTGAGTGTGTGGTTGTTTGCATGTGACAGGTGTTCGTGAGCCTGGATTGGCGCATAGGATGTTGATGGTTGTGTGTGTGGTGATTGTGATTGTGATTGTTGGGAGTTGACGAGCGGTGAGTCCATCTGTGAGGTTTCCGTGGTGTAGTGGTCATCACGTCTGTCTAACACACAGAAGGTCCCCAGTTCGAGCCTGGGCGGAAACATCTGCTTTTCAACGTGACATCACACTCCGAATTACTCACACGTGCATTCACCACCACAAACACAACAACAAACACACCGACCAATTCAACATGCACCACTTTCACTTACAAGCAACCGCCAGTCACACACACTCTCACATCCACCCACTCTCACCCACTCATTCCTCCCCCCCCCCCCCCTTCAACTATCTCGCTCTCTCTCTCTCTCTCACTCACTCACTCACTCACTCACTCACTGCATTCCCGAACACATAGAGGCCTTCCTTTCTGCTCTGCCCTACATCCGTCATCTCATGCAG